CAGATTATAGGAACGAATAGAAAATCGATCATAACTAAGCTTATAATATATACAATCTTTGAATTCTTAATAATCGATATTTTTATAAGAATTTTTAATTATGTTTAACTCATAACTCAGCCAAAAATGCATTAATTTCAATTCGGAAAGCTGTCCTATGTTAGTTTTTATTAGGTTAATAAATCTGCATACTCCAATTGAGATGTAAAAAAAATTTAATTTTTAGGATTTTTTTGTTGTTAATTTTAACGATGTAACCCCTTATAAAATTTAAAAAAAAAATTAAAAAAAAATTTTTTGCGATTAAGATAGCTAGATCGATTCGGCTATTTGTGCTGATCAAGAATATATATGACTTATAGGGTCGGAAATGACTCCGTCACAGATAAAAATGATATTTTCCTATGCAAGATTTCTAAAAATGGATTTTTTTTTTGATTCTTTTCAATATTTTTTTGGGACTTTCAATGTTTAAAAGTGGCATAATTATGTCAAAAGTGCATTAATTTCAATTTAGAAATCGTTTCTGTATTATTTGTTTGCCGATTAACAAAACTGCATACTTTATTTTATATTTAGAAAATTAAAAAAAATTTTTTCGATTTTTAAAAATTTTAACGATATAACCCCTTATAAAATTTAAAAAAAAATTTAAAAAAAAATGTTTTCTGCCTGAGATAGCTAGAACAATTCGGCTGTTGATGCTGATCAAGAATATATTAGATTTATAGGGTCGAAAATGATTCCTTCACTGTTTTTTAAGCTTCTGATTGCAAATTTAATACCTTGTAAGGGTATATTTTCAAACAATATCTTCAAGACCTATTTTCCCCCTATTTTTCTCAATGTCGCTGCCTTTCACAGTCGCTGGTTGCGTTGACAACAACAACAAAAGGCTGCGAACAGGAACAACGACAACGGCTTCTGTTTCTGCCGAGTTAAAGATAAGATTATTACCCACCACACCCACACACTCACACACACCAACACTCACACCAACATACACCAACAGACACACACACTGGCACTCTGCCTGCTTGGGATTTATTTGGTATTTCGCATTTCGTCCGCCTTTTGGAGCTCCCAGTTCCCAGCTCCCAGCTCTCAGCTCTCAGCTCTCAGCTCCCAGATCCCACTTTCCACTTCCCAGATCCCGATGACAGTCTTTTTTACGTTTTTTTGTGTTCTTTTTTGTGGAGCGTGCTCATCCAACGCTCTGCGGTTGACTATTCCGACTTTGGCGGCTCTTCTCTGGCCTTTCATCACGTTTGAATAATAATTTCCCTACTTCGTGTGGTTCGCCTCTGAATCAATTGCAAGAGGCTACAGCAGAAGTCAAGTGGTTTCTAAATCAACTGTGGACTAGAAATGACCAGAAAGTCAAGGTTTTGATTTCTTCAAGTAAGGATAAAGTTTTTTAAGTAAAAGTATTATTAAATTTGGTTTAAAGTATGAAGAGTGTAGGTATTATACTTCTATGCAAGAGGCTGCAGCAAGGTCAAGTGGTTTCTAAATCAACTGTGGACTAAAGTCAAAGTTTTGATTTCTTAAAGTATAACTTATAAGTTGGTTATGTTAAGGGTTAAGTTTTCTAAGTAAAGGTAATGCTAAATTTGATTTAAAGTATGAAGAGTTGATGCCTTGTGCTTCTCTTTGCATTCTTACAATTGAATAATGTTTTTTTGGCGAAAGGATTATCATTATCTTTTTAACTTCTCAAGGATTTAGTGACTATAATATTGTTTATATTTTATATAGACTATAATATAATATATAGTATAGATTGAATTTAAAAATCAGGTTAGATTCCAGCTCTGAGTACTATGAATCCCTCCCGGTGAAGTCCCCTTTCGAGGACATTCAATTATGTTAACTACTTCCCAACCAAAAGGAAGGACTTCTTTCTTATATATGTATATCCCTTAACTGACCTTCTCCCACTTGTCACACTCTTGGTTTTCACACTCCGCTAGTTGGAAACCAATTAGTAGCTGGGGACTCCCAAGTGCTGACCCACTCGAAAATGATATATTGCAAGCTTGGCTCCATTGCCCCACCATCTCCATTCCCATCTCCATTTCCATCTCCATCTCCATCGCCACTCGGGGCACTTATCAGCACTCGGCCATCTGTTGGACTCTGGTTTTTGGGGAGAGGATCGAGTGCGTTTTTTTTTACGGGGGGACAATCTACTGTTAAATTACTTTAACTCGATTCATTTGCAATTGCTTTTTTTTTTCTATTTTTCTCTTCTTTTTTTTGGTTTTCGGCGTCGTCTTTATATATTTTTGTGTGTAGGTTTTTATGGTCTGCTTTTTGTTCAGGGCACACACACCAAGATAGAGAGAGAGAGAGAGACTAAGCCTGGCAGCGACAGGAGAAGATACCTGAACGGACTTTTCCCCAGCCCGTGTGTGTGTGTGTGTGTGTGTGCCTCGGTCGCATGGCTATGAAACAGATAAATTGCAAAAGTTTTCCCCAAATATTTTCACAAGACGACGGCAAGTTGGTGGCTAGAACAGGGAAAGGAGCGGGGGCGATGCTTTAGGCCAGGGCAGGTAGCACAAAAATCTGCAATAAAATTTTACCAATAAACTTTAGACGCACACATGGATGGCCGTCCGACACAGATGCGGATGTGGGATAGGTACAGGGTACAGGTGGATGTGTGGATGTGGCTGTGGCGGAATGCGGATGCGGACAGGTGGAACTTTTTCGGGTGAACTATACTAAATTATTGTAGTTGCTGAAAAAGTTTTTTTTTTGGGCACCCCGTCTGACACACACACACACACGCAAAGGAACAAAAAGAAAACAGAAGGAGAACGCTAGCGATGTTAGAACCTTTTGACATGGCAAGTGGGTGCTCCAAGGCATACCCATCCTGCAGAGATAACACACACAAGTGTGTGTGTGTGTGTGTATGAGAAGGGGAGGGGACATAAAATGCGGTGAACTAATGTTGCACCCACTTGCATTCAACCCCACATGGCTTGTTATTAACTTTGACTGCGCACTCGAAACGAAAGCGAATCCCTGTGACAAATGTCCTTACACATATGCATATATATATTTATTTATTTTTTGGGTCTGGTTCGGGTTCCGGGGTCAACAGATTGTGGGTCAAATGTGCGCTCAAGGTCGACGTCCTGGGTCAGTCAAAGTTTTGCATTCCCCGAGGCATAACTCCCCAAGCACGAGGCCTTTTCAAGCGGTGACAGGGAAAAAAGGGAGTTATAAAGAAAGAGCCCTTAAGGATACATATTCCCTGCCTATTTTATTGATTTTTTTTTTTACAACTTGCAACTAATTTGCGGCACTGAGGATCGATGCTCTGTACTAATGGGCTGCATTTCCGCCAACTAACAAGTGTATCATTCAAAGAACTCGTGTGTGCAATGCGAGATATAAACTAGAAGTAAGGCTCAAGAGGCAGGACGAAAGGCTCCAGTTGGGCAGAAAACTTTCTTTTTGTGTTAAAATCCCGGGCACGTACGCTTGTGGATACAATATGTCATATGTGTGTGGCAGTATGACAAGGATGCGGAGAAGAGTGGCAGCACACTGGAGGCATGTGTTGCGATTCCTTTTGTGGAGTGGCACGGTTGTTGGCGGTGGCTCCACCTCGTTGACAGCACTTACGATCCCATAAATATCACCATCACCTGGCAGATCCTCGAGATCATTGCAAGTCCTTGCTGCCTGATGTTTATTTTCGTAGGCTTTTGCGATAAAGTTTCACAGCAGCCGCCACTTACATCCCAATGTGGCCGAAAGTGTCGATAAAACTTTCGCTAAGCCCCCCCTCCCAAGCCCATCCCATGTCCTTGTATCCTGTCCATGTCCTTGCACCAATGGCCAGCTGACGAATTTGGCGCGCGAGTCACATTAACGCGGCTAATGGTGAAAGTTTTATGCCTGGCTTCGGCTTCATAATGTGCAACACTTGAGCAACAAGGGCGCCTGCTTTAATGCTCCACCTTCGTCCTGCTCCAGGTCCTTCTTCCTGCTGCTGCTGCTTCTGCTCTTAAGAGAGCGCTTAAGAGAGAGTCGGCGGATGCTGGGGGCCAGCACCCAAAGGGATGGTCTAACAGGATGAGAAGCCAGGACCTGCCTCCCCCCTTGTCCTGTCCTGTCCTGTCTCCGAAGAGTAAACTTCGAAAGCCCTTTTGCACGCCCAAAGAAACCTACACTGGTCCCGGCACGGCATAACTCGGGTTTCGTTTCCTGTCGGCTTTTGCCTGCGCTCGGCTCTAGCTTCGGCTACGCTTCGTTTTTCCTTCTTTGTTCCTTTCGGTCGACTGTTAGCGCCAACGCTGGCCAGGACTCGACAGTTGGTTATGAAATCTGAACGTGTTCGCACGTGCCGCACGGATCTCGCAGCAGCTAAAGCCATCCACTCAACTCAGTTCCACACCAATCAGCACTTCAGTCAGCATCGCATCATCCCCAGACTCTGGCCGCCACAAGTGAAAGTGGAAAGGATATGGATAGTGAGGAGGACACTTGAATCCGAAATTGAAATCGAAAGCTCAAAAACTGAATCGAAACCAAAATCAGGATCAGAGATTGGACGCATTTCATGCCAAAACAAAACAAAACAAATCAAAAATATAAAAACTTTGTGTTGCAAATCTGTGTTATCCTTTTTGTTGTTGTGTTCGCGCTTCGTTCCGTCCCCCTCCCCCGCACACACACACACACATACAAGTCCTTAGTTGCCATAAAAACAAATGCTCATGTTAACCAACTCAATCAACAAGCTGCACAACTGAGGTTGCAAGAAATTAGCCAGTAATTCATCATTAAGTTTTCCCGTCTATATAAATATAAATCTAAAGCAGATATCCGTCGGCGATAAACAAAGTTCTTAGTTTCCGTTACCTTTTTGTTGGGTTTTTTTTTAACATTTTTTTCACGTTATCAAAAAAAAAAAAAACAAAAGAAAATATTAAAAAAAAATAATAACAAAAATAAGGAGAAAAGCTAACCATAAAAAACAAAAGTAAAACCAAAAAAATATATAGTTAGTGTTTATAAGTGTACAAAACAATTGGTGAATGAGCAGGAAAAGGAGTTAAGTCGAGAATCAGGAACAGGATCAAAACCCGAGCCAGCTCCAGAAAGTGAAATACCAGACAGAGAGAGAGAGTCCTGTGTAAGTACATAAAAAAATGCCCACAAATTCGAATTCAAATTACAAAATTACAATGGTCCTGGCCACAAGCACTTTTCCCTACTTTTCTCTACTTTTTCCCCTCACTTTTCCCTGATTCTTTGCATACTTTTGCGGGCAATCAAATAGAATTCCTGCGGAATGTAAAACAATATTGTAATGGAAAGCTATAGCATTAATTTCTTTGATGACTGCGAATTCAAATCGACAAATCAACAACAGAAATGTCAATTTCAGTCCCAGGATATATATATATACTCACATATATACAACATTTAGTTTGTTGTTGTTTGTAGCTTGAAATGGTGTCCAACTGCTGCTCCAGATGCTGTTTCATCGCGGGGGCCCAAACATCTGTGGCTTGTGCTTAAGTTAATTATTATCAATTAATAGCTAATCACGATAAATGTGCATGAAAGCGTTTTGCCCAAGGACACAGCGATACGGGATACGGGATATGGAGCACAGGATAAGACGATAAGGGAAAGGGAGCAAGGGAAAAGGGAGCAAATGAAATACCTAGCATGGGAAAAGGAGCAATGAAATACGTAGCATGGTATATGGGACATGACATGTCCATGTCCCAGTGTTTAGGGTGGGAATGTGGGAAAACAAGGCATTTAGGGCAAGGCAACAAGGCAGCAGGGCAATGGTCTACGATTCTGCTTCGACCTTTTCCCTACTCTAGCATCCTGTTGATTTGTACCACGCTGCGTATGAGCGATTTGCAATTAAAAATACGTATACGCACTGTGGCCATAAATAGTTGTGTCTAAACAAAGACGCGCTTTGATCATTGCATTGATTTACTGGGAAGTATTATGAAATTAATTAAATACAGGGGAGCTTAATTCTATTTATTATATATTTTCCAATAAATTAAAAATTAAATGTTGTTGAATTCTGGGAACCTAAACTATGAAAGTAGTTGTAGTTATACCTACTTTTTGTAAATATTTAAATTATTATTCCCATTTTAATCAATACAAATTGAAGATTAGTACTATTACTTAACAAACCCACTTTAAAGATTAGTTAAATGAATTATTAATATATAATTTATCAATTATTATACCCATTTTAATCAATACAAATTTAAGATAAGTGCTATTACTTAACAATCCCACTTTAAAGGTTACTTAAACATATTGTTCCCTGTTTGATATTTCAATTATTAAACCCCTTTAGTGAATACAAATTCAAGAATACTGCTACCACTTAAAAAACACCACTTTAAAGTTTACTTAAGAGCATTTTCCTTTTAATACTTTCATACAACTTCCCATTGAAATTGACTTTATATATTCCCTCACCCCCCCCCCCATTGAAATCAATTGACCAAAAATTAATTCACATTTTGAGTTACACATTAGCGTTTATTAATTATCAATGTAATGGACCATTTCGGTTGACTGTTATTATTGCGGCAAATGAACAATGAAGGCGCAAAATGGCCTTCATAAAAGCGTTTTTATTTATGATCTTTCACTGGCATTCTCACATAAAATTCAATCAAAGTTGCAGTTCTCAATGCCGAAAGGAAAAAGGAATGCCATTTCTCCGGCTTCGTCCAAAGTGAAGTTCGTCCATCTTTTGGGGCTTTGATCTCTGGGATGCCAGCAAAGTGCCACAGGGATGTTGGACTGAGGATTGGGAAATGGAAAATGGGAGTGGAGTGGAAAATGGGGGTGGTGTATGGGAGTATGGGAATGCGGTGAATGGGAATTCCAGGAGGGGGAGGTCGGAGACGGTGGACAACAATCGCATTCGCTGTTCGAGTGCCCTCAATAAACGACATTTTATTATATTTTTTTTTCTCTCTCTCCCTGCCTGTCTGTTTGCCAGCCTCAGCTGCTCTTCCTGTACCAACTCCTGTCCAGAGTCCTGAGTCTTCCTTGCTCTTCCGTTACCCATTTCTCTGTTCGGTTTTGTACGCTTTTCCTGCTGCCACCTTATTTCTACTTCGTTTTTATTTTTTTTTTTATATATTTTCTTCTTTTTTCCACCTCGCATCGTCCTTTCCCTTTTTATCGTTTCAGTTACAAAGCGGCGCGCACTTTACGCTGATTGCTCGCTGGCGCAATCGTTCCACAGGACATGGCCTGGGTTTCCTTTTTTGCGCTCCTTCCTTTTGTTTTCCCCGCTCCTGTCCGCGCGCGCGCGCGTGTGTGTGTGTGTGCAACTGGGCATCGATATCATTGGGTTTATTGTTACTTCCTTTTGCAATTATCCTTGTTAGTCCGGCGCACAGGCAAATGCACAGTGGCCTGGCTCAGCACTAACTTCATTTGCCTAGCTCGGGTTCTCGGTTTTCGATTCCAGGTCCTGTTTCTGGTCCTGACTCTGGTCCTTTTGTGCTGCTGCGTTATCCTACTCCTCACTGGCAGCCAGTTGGGTTTAGGAGCTCGTCCTGCGGTTTATGATCTCGCTGCTGGCAAATGGGCGTTGTTTTTTTTTCCACCAAATTTTTTTTGCACAGGGATAAGGCATCGTATTGGCCATCAATTGGGCTTCTTTTACGCTTCGTAACCACTCCGTATTGTGCATTTTTCACATAATAACTAAGATGCTTGTACTAATTTTGGTTCAAACGATAAAGGGAGCTTGCTTAACTTGTATGTATTTCTTGGGACAACAAAAAAGGAAAGAATTTATGATCATTTTGAGGAGTTTTATTAGTAAAAGGAGAGCTAGATGATAGAAAGATACAAATTCTTGCTTATTAGAAGGTTAATTTATACTTAAACAATTACCCATTTTACTTTTTGAAGTATAAACACCATGATACCCCACTTTCTTCTAGAAAGGACACCTCTGCAAGGCCAAAAGGATTAAGCCAAACACTGACAATACGTTGCGGTTTGTTTTCCATGCTGGACAACATGCAAGAAAGCGCTGACACAACGCAAAACTCAATCAAACTGTCAACAAAACAGTTTGGTGGCGAACCCCCCTTTTCGCCATGCCACGCCCATAAACAAAGCACATTGTCTCCATCTCTCTCTCTCTCTCTCTATCTATCTTTGACCCCCCCTCCGTATCTATCTCTGTCACCGCAACACACACACACACACACCCAAGTAATAAAAGCGTAGCATACGCGCGGCATTTAATTAAAAGCGTGCGAAAAATGCAACACTCGAAGGCCTTGGGGCACTCGACCACTAAACCCACTAAAAACACCCCGGCCCCTCTCAGCTGGCCAAAAGGAAAAACAAAACCAAATTAAATTAATTAAAGCGAAGGAAAAATCCGTGCTGAAATCAGCGGCAAAAGAAAACTCAACTCGAGACTTGCCGCTGTTGCTGCTGTTGGTGGAATTGAGTTAAACTTTTGCTGGCTGCCTGTTGGCGGTCGTCGAAAAGTGTTGCATTGCAACGCCTTTTAATGTCCAGCGGAGCAAAACTCCCGCATGCGGTCACCCTACCACCACTCTGACCCCTGACCCCTTTGGCATCCAGCATCCTGGCATTGCATTTTTTGCAATTAGCGGAATTGTTTCACATTTGCTTCACACTTCTCACCCAACTCACCGCCCACCGAGCAGCAGTCGCGCTGCAGTTTATCTGTGGCTTCCGCCCGCCCCCACAACCCAGGGGTTTGTCACTCGGTTGACTCCCCTGGACAGAGTCCTTCTTCACTGGGATGCAGTACCCTGTAGCCAGTATCCAGTATCCAGTATCCTCGTATCCCGTATCCTCGCATCTGTGGGTGTGTCCACTATATGGACATCCCTTGAGGGGGAAATCGTGCAGCTAAATCTTTTAAAGTACATCTAAAAACGACGTGACACGGGGCAGGATATACAGGATATACAAACAGCTTTCTGCACTTTACTCGCACTCTCTCTCTCACTATATATATATATATATATATCTGACTCAGCTGGCTGCACTTTAGTGGATAACCCAGTTTTCTACGCTTAAAAGGTTTCCCCATTTCGAGAGCTTTTCCAACCGCTTTACATAGGTGTCCCCACGATCCTGGGATTTTTTTTTGTCTGTGTCTCATTTTCAGGCATTTCCCCAGTTTGTTAGTTTTTCGCAAGACATCTAACTGAGTCGGCCGCAGCAGCAGCCACAGCCGGAGCATCCTTTGGAAGAAAAGCGGAAAAGCGGCTGTAGCAGGGAAAGGAAAATAAAATACGAAGAACGTTAAACAATTTTCCCTTCATCTTTCGTATATTTTCATATTTTTTTTTTTGAAGGCTGCTAACGAGCCGCATCCGAACAGGGGTTGCACAGAGAAAAATGGAAAAGTCATATAGGAGATCCATATTTTTCCCTGTTTTATGGTAATATTGGAATCAGAATTGCAGGATTACAAAGAGTAAAAATATCTCTAAACTTTCATCTTCTGCTATTAAAAAGATTAAAGAAATTGGGATTACATTTTTCTATTTATATCAATTTTAAAAGATTCAGAATTTTGAAATACAAATAATACAGAAAATTCCCTGAAAAACCCTTGTTGTAGAAACAATAAACCCCTTCACAGTTATTAAAACAACTCTAAGTATTTGCTAGGAAAAACAATAAATTCTAATATTGAAAAATACTTGAAAAGAACACTGATTAAGCAAGGACATTTCAAATATTTTTTTCTCAGTACTTCAAGGCGCCTCTCAAGCCACCCAAAACGAGTTATGCGCATTTGGCCGCAGGCCCAGAGATTTGTGCTGCTCATTCCTTTTGTCCTGGGTCCTGCTGCGGCTTCAGTTCCTTGAAGCGGCAGGTATCATAAACCTCAAGGCGTCCATCATTTTGTTTACACAAAATCAAGGCGACGAGCAGGACGACAAAACGCACATTCGTTGGCTAAAAGGAATCATGCCGACATTATGCCATTACATTTGCATAATTATCATTGTGCGGAGGGGGAGTTGGCACAAACCACACACACACCCTACACACTCTACACACACAACCCACACACTTTGTTTTTCTTGAGTAAATGTTTGCATTTATTTGCATTTCAACGGA